GGAACCGATCTGGGACCCGACACTTCCGCTCGTTCCGCCACTCGATCCTGGAACCGGTGATGACGAGGACCCGTACTGAGGGATCGGATGTTGGTGCAGTAGGAGACGTTCTCTTCGGCCATAGTCGTCGTCTGTCGGCATCCTGGTGGCCCGGGGCCCGCTGTCAGGACATCTGAAATTGTATGATTCGCTGTTAGTGATGAAGTTAATAATGATTTGAGAATATTATTGTATCAATAAACAGAATCTAATCTGTACGTATCATTAATTATCTTCTTTTCCGAATCCGAATTCTATTTGTCTTGATTTAACAGATATTTTATCTTTACCCAAAGTATACATTTATTAAATATTTTATTTTTATCGAGATAAATATCGAATATTTTTTCACTTCCTATATAGCTTAATTTCAATGCTGATTCAAAAAAAAATTAATTAAATTTTTAATACAATATGATACTTAATTAATCCTTTAACAAAGATGCTATCCCAAAGCAGACCGAGGTTATCGAAATCACCACACCTTTTGTTCGCGTTTAAACCCGTATCCTCCTTTAATGTCTCCATGGTAAAACATAATGCATAATAGAAATATAGCCGGAAGGCAGGTACGAATTGCTTGTTACGTGACGTTAAAACGCGGCCCGTATAATCGATTGCAAATTAATTGGGGCCATGCTCGCTCGCGTTTCGTTCGTTGGACCAAACGTGTACGAACGAGTGACGCGTGCGGTCGTTCGTAACCGCTGGCAAGTCTGCAACGAATTGCCAGGAAATACAACGATTTCATCGATCACTGCTTAAATCCTCCTCCCCAAAGAGTATTGAAATATCTGGACCTATCAAACTTTTACTACGCATTGCGTGAATTGAAATGAAAATAGGATTCACGATTCTTTTTTTTTTTATTGTCTTATTGATCAATTAAATTAGCTGAATTGTTTGAAAAATTATTTAGAAGAAAATTTGAAATAATGTGAAAAGAATTGGAAAATTAAAATAAAAAGTCCAATAATGATCCAGAAATGCTATTTTTTCATTTCTTACATTGTATATATTACTTCTTTTTTTAAATATAATATAAATGTTTGTTGTTAGAAAAAGAAAGTATTAATATTTGATGAGAAAAGTGAAAATTTGAAAATATTGGATTGTTTTTTTAATATTTAAAGATATTATTTCATTCAGTGCTGATAAAATGGTATTTCAAATAAAAAGTTATTTCTCAAATTGTATTATATTGAAATATTTATTTAATTTTGTATATATATATTTCAATAATATATATTTTTTTGCACGAATTTGAAATAACTGAAATTATTTGAATATTTCTCGCATTATATGTATAGTGAAATTTTAAGAAGTTTTTTATTTTTTAAAATAAAATTCAAATAGTGAATACTTTATGGAAATCATTATTTTTATTAAATAATAGTTATTTCTTAAAAAATTCTTTTTTGTTATCGATAATATTCTTTAAAATCTTTAAAATAATATGTCAATATAAGTTTGCTTTTCTATTATTTTCTATTATTAAGAAAAATTTCAATAAAAAAAATAATTAGATATATTCTATGTGATATATTAAATATATGAATATTTTTGTCACAATTTTTTTTAAAATATCGTTATTACTTTCAGATAAATAGATATTTCTATTTAAAATAAAATATAATTAATAATTGCAATTATTGAATAAAATAAAATATTAATGTCATTCCTATATAATTATTAATTATATCATTAATTAATAAATATGATATAATTTAGTTGTATGCATGTTATCGATATTTCGAGGGTATTCAACATTCCAGTTAAATTTCAGTGTTTATATCTATTTTTCGTTGACACAATAAATATAACATTTTTTTGTAAGAAAAACGATACGTTTTTATGTAGGATTTTTCTATATAATTTTTGAATTTAATGTCCAACTAGTATTTTTCCGAATTTATCACGTCGATGCTTGACAAAAGGTGATAATAAATAATCCTCTTCCAATCTCGTCAAATATAAAACAGAATATATCGACTGTCAAAAATGTTGCCAAGTTTCAAAACAATCCAATAAAAGTCAACCGTTATAAACTCGTTAAATATATTCGAAATATGTTTCAAACGTAATGCAATTAAAAAATATGAATATTTAAAAAAATAATATATACATTTTTATCATATTTCACGTGTATTATTAATAATGTAAATAGAAGAAATTATTATATTTTGAATAACTGAATTAATTAATTTAACATAATTTTTCTATCTTTTTATGGTTTCTTCATTTTTAAATTATAAATATTATTATTAATTATTTATAATAATATATAATATTAATTATAATAATATATAATAATTATATAATAATAAATTACTATGATCCAAACAGACATTACAGTTTTACATTATACAATATATATCATACAATATTAAAAATAAATAAGTAAAATTAAAATTTGAAGAAATATAAAAATTAAATCAATATTAAATTAATTAAATTAGTATTAATATAAAATTAATAAAATAGTTGAATATTTAAAATACGAAAAAAAGAAACGACAAAATATATTTATATCTATATATTTATATAATATAAGTAGAAAGTGTCAATGCATAATCAGACGCTACTATTCTGAAGCACACGTTTATTCGAATTAAATGCTCGTTTATTTCTGAATTAAACTAGAGAATTTTCGCTGATCCAATCAACAAATTTAATAAAAACAATAATGAAATTAATAATAATACATCATTATAATATTTTCCATCGAATAAATAAGAAAACAGATTAGCCTTAGAATGATGTTCAATTTTCTCAGTGTCATAATTATTTCAAGTTGTCTTCTTTATAGCGTACTATTCATCAATCTTAATTACGCTTCTATTTAACCAAGCACTCTTTCGAAACGGCGTTTAATTAAAAGATGATTACACTTGGTAATTATAAACTGATCGATGTCCCTTATCTCTAGTTGTTTCCTGCGAAACGATTCTCCTTTAAACACAATTCCAACAATCGACTCGTTAATTCGAAGATATTTGAACAGAATAGATTGCAGATAAAAACCTTACTTAGTATATTAGTAGCACGTTAGAAAAGAGGATACAAAGCTACAATCACACGCGAGTGAACTGTATAATTGATCAGACGGAGGAAGATGATGGCTTGATTGAAATGTCGATCATCATTCAGTTTCTGTTATTTGCAAATGTTATTTCGTTTAATCATGAAACAAATGTCTTTTTTTTTTAAACGTGTTTCTTATATATCTATCGTTATTTTCTCTACAAAGTGGCAAATGTTGTTTTGTTATAACAAATAATGTTTTATTGGAGGCATGACAGTTATTTTTTTTTGTCTTTATTTTGATGATAAGATAGAAAGAATTTGAGAAAAAATTACATTCTCTTTTATTTTTTATTCTAAATGATTATTTGAAATATATATGTACATAGAATATGTACATAAAAGATGAATAAATTTTTAGAATATTGCATCAAAAATAATCTTTAAGAATATTTATCTTTTCTAATATCATAAAAAAAATTTTTTTATCTATAAATTTATCAAAGATAAAAAATATTTTAATATTCAAATATTATACCGGATACATAATTATGGAAATAAAAATTGTATTATTTGAAAACACAACAAAATATTAAATAATTAACAATTAATTTATCTTGAATCCAAAAATTTTTTTACAGATGAATCTAAATCGCATCTAAATTGATTTATGAGATTACAACAATTAAAGTATTTTTTTTCAGGCAATGAGTAATAAAAAATCAAAAAAATACAAAAACTAGATTTTTTCCATTAATTTTCATTTATTATCAACAAATCATATTAATTACGAATTATTAAAGATCCATTGAATAATGAAAAAAATGTGCACAGAAGGTGCAAGTATCATTTATCGTGGATATCGCTAATATACGAAATAGAGACGCAGTGCATCTATCAGCAATGGAAGAGTGGAAAAACTTTGCAGAACGTGAAAATGGCACGCGTTGCCGGTGTCGTGAAGATAAAACGCAGCTGTTCCACAAAAAGAGCGAACAATTCACGAACCACGTATATATATATATATGTTTTTTTTACATTTTCCACAAATCGTATAATATCCAGAAATTGAACCAATTCTGAATCTTTTTAATTTTCTTTTTGAAACAAAAATTGAAAAAATCAGAAATTTGAGAAAATATTGCAAAATACAATCAATGGCAATGAGAAAGAAACGCGATATCGTATTTTCCATGTTTAAAACTTTAAAATTCGATACCGTTAATTAATCTCTTTTTTCTATTTTAGTTCTCATATTAAATATACGCATAATACTAAACAAAGATATTAGCATACTTCAGTTTTTCAAGTAATATTTTTTTATAAATATATAGAAGAAATTTTCTCTATAATTTTTTGTTAAAATATTACATTATTACATTTTTAGAGAATGAATTTTAAACTAAATATTATGATTTTATTTTATATATTTTTATGATTTTATTTATATATTTTTTTTTTTGCTAACAATTTTTTATTACTTAACTATTTATTATTTAATAAATAAAATGTCTTAATATTTTTATATAATTTCTTAATAGTAATAAATTATGATATATTTATGATATATTTACTTCAGATTCTAAAATTATAAGTATTTGAAAAAAGACTTTGATAATGAAATGAAATACAAAAATATCATAATTATAATCACCATTGTATTAATATTAAAAAAATTATTAATTTTTATTATTCTATTAAAAATTAAATAACCAAAAAAAATTAAATTCCTTTAATATTAAAACAAATTGTCACTCACTAGTGAATTTTTGTTTGAATAAATATAATTATTCATATAATCAAATTTTTCATTCAATAAGAACTCTTTTTAACTTTTTAACAATTTTTCTTTCATAGGAAAGATATATAATAATATCAAATTTTCCAAACTTAAAAAAATTTTATAAATATAATACACTATTTATAATTATTATATATAATTGAAATAACAATATGAAGCCGTTTTCCTAATCAAACTTCAGCTTTTCGTAATTTAATAAATAAGCCTCAAATAACATTTATAACTTGTATTATATATATAAACCAATTTTAGTATTTATTTTGATCTCTAAAATTCACAAATATAAGAACCCACGAATAAATTATCAT